AGAGCGGTTTTAAGTGGCACAAATTTTCCATAACAAACCACACTGGGGTTTGGATTCAGGCCAGCAGCCGGGTATGATAAAGCACAAAGATAAACAAAAGGGAGCATTTACACTATGGAATTGATATGTGCAGGAACATTATATCAGAAAATACTTCTAGATCTAATCTCCAAATAGCTGCTCTTGTTCAAGACTAGATATCAGGCAGGCGAATGGACAGGACATCTATTAAGCTTACTAAGTTGACACTACGGGTACCAACCTGAATTTCTTCCTGAAGAAGAGTGTCTCCAAAAGAACAGTACACGGGATGATTGCCAGTTTTGTCATCTAATATTCACAAAGAGAAGATGTGCTCAGATCGGCGCAGGCTGAATAAAAGATATCACATCAGGCATCAGCTGGAGTAACAATGCTATACCTGGTAGAAACCAACAGAATTAAAACCCAAGCTAAGGTTCAAAAGTCCAATGGATATGCCATTTAATATGCCAAATCCCATCACAGCTCGCGGATCAAAAGGCTTGTGTTCAAACAACTTCATCCATAATGCCACATGAAGAGAACAAAACGTGACCAAAAGATGCCAGCTTGTCAGAGTGGTTGCTGTGCAATTAAAACCAAGAGTGAGCACAGATGGATCACAAGACCAATTACATAGTGTGTTACATAAACAGACATGGCGACTTGAGATTCCAAAAAGGATGTAGCGGCATCCTGCCCTCTAAGTGCAAGGGATCTTACCATTATTAAAACCACAGGCATCACTCCAAGTAATAATTTCATAATTCATCAAGTTATTACAGATACATTCTTTTAAAACATTTTACTTCAAGTGCAGACAATCATAAAAAGCAATTCTCCTATGGAGCCGGTTGAAAAGTGTAAACCAAATATCAAATCAATCATCCCTATGAGCATGTAAGATAGCCAGGACCAATATAAACTGCATAGAATAAGCACTAATGAATAACCAGGCATATAGATGGAGGAGAAAACGCTTCCTACATCAACATGGACAATCAAAAGAGCGTTCAACCCCTGAAACACTACGAGGCAGAAAGTAACAGCTTACCAAATGTGAAACCGAGAGTACTTATGAGCGCCTTGTTACAGATCACGATCGACACAGACGACACAACTGACAAACTTAAAGCACCGATCGTTCCGAGCTGGAACTTCTGCCCTTCGCTCATCTTCTTTTTCTTATCTCTTCCCGGTTCAATCACGATCTACGGTTATCTATCCACCGTCGCAGACATTTCCGAGTCATACTTAAACACGTAGACGTATTCAAGGCAAAAACGTAAAGGAAACGACAGCGATCTGGAGAAACGAACCTCATTCGCGGGTAACGTACGCGAAGTACACGAGAATCAAAGGCCAGAGCAGCTCGACTGCAGCAATGGCGATGTAGAACAGGTCGAAACGGAATAAAACAAGGCAAACGTTAAGAAATCCGGAGAACAAAGGTTTAATAAAGAAGCGATAAACCATAGATCTGCCGTTTTCAGATTAAGATCAGCAAACAGTTCCTTAAATATTCGATTAAACAGATAAAAAAAAGAAAAAAATGATCAAGTGGAGAGAGAAGCCTCGGGAAAACCAGAAACCTCAAGCTCCGAGGGAGAAGAAGATATCTCGTCCTCGTCGACGAAGAGCCTATTTTTTGCAATCTTGAGGGTCAGAACTCGAGCACCATACAGGAGAAATAGTGAGAGGAGAGAGAGAGGGAGAGGAAACCCGAGGGGGACGATAATTTCCACAGATGGGACCCACCATCAATACAGGACTAAAACCGTAAACCATGATGACAGATAAAATACAGGTAAATACCGGGTGGGTTACTATTTTCATGTAAACCGGGATGGAAATTAGACGATTTAACCGGTTTGACAAATACTTGCTCGCCAAGCTCATAATGAAAACTTGGCCCAATTTAAATTCATCCCTAACAATTCTCATGTCGGACCAATTTTTATATTGACCCCTCGCCCTAACTAAACGCTGACCCACCAAGATAATTTGTATCAAGACATTACCTTCACCGAACATATACAGATCTATATCACCTGGGTTTCTTCATTACCAAGCTTTTTTCTGTGTGGCCCTTCTTTGCAAAATCAGGGAACTTGAGTTCATGGAACAGCACCATCCATCATGACCTCACACCAAGACGTGAACCCCATAGAGAGCTTCCAACTTTACGTACACATTATACAAAAGTCAGATATAATCACCAAACATCGAAATCTCTTGAAATCTCTTGTCCTCCTCCCTCACAAGACATGAGGGTGAAACCTTTGATTGCCTTGAAATCAAAGCTTTCAAGATCATGCGACAGATTTTGCATCTGCCTTCAGATTCAGTCAAGCCTGTCTTTAATCAGAACCCTCTTGTCCCCGTCTGGTCTTGTCTCTGTTTTCTCAAGAGGAGGATGCAGAAGAAGAGGAACCAGACCAGGACCAGAGGTTCTTCGTGTAAGAAACTGTCTCTGTTTTGGTACAAGTTGAACCAAAGGATCATAACATTCAGACCCATCAATACAGCAAGAAATCTCACTGCTTCCCCATTGGATCTTTACGATATTTTGACTCTTACAATGTTTTCTTTTGAATTGATCGACTCCACCATATTCTCGTGTGCAGTCAGCATCAGCGAGCCAGACGGGATTCGTTGGCAGATGAGGTTGTAGAAGATGGTTGCAGAAGCTTTGAGAAATATTTGACTCATTTGATCATTGAAGAAAAGAAAGCAGAGGACTTTATGGACATGGAAGAGCTTCTTAGAAGAATCTTAAGAGCCCTGTCTTCATTGATCTGCAGAGACCTGTTTTCAGGTGAGAAATCTATCTTGGGGATGCATACGTATATAGAATGAACATACAATGCAATTTTATGTTTTCGACACCAAAATCGATGGGTATTGATCAGCTTTTATACATTGATGTTTAGATACTGCAGAGAATATGGTGAAATATGTTTAACGACACTCCAAAATCTTCCAAACTTTCGGACTCTGGAATAGCGATTGCTGCTCTCAGCTCTCAAACATGAGCATTCAAAAATTTCAGAAACAGAGTTGAAAAGGGTTCCGTATCATTTACTTACCTGAAAATTCTGCAAACCTTTGCGCTAGTGAACAGCAGAGGATCGGGCGTATTGTTTTTCATTTCATCTCCGAGAGATAAACACGAGATCTAATTGTTGAATCTCCGATCTTAAAACCAGGCATTGTAATGAACTGGACAGTTAAGTCGGCTTGTCCTTCTCCAAGAAGTAACTGTTCAACAGACTCCATGTACACGTCTGAGAATCTGGTTCCTCTTCTAACAACAAAGATCTTTGCTTTTTTATCCAATGAAGCAGCAATCGTTTCAAGAATCCAGACCCATTTCGCCATTTTCGCAAAAATTCGATAGAATATGGTCCTTGGATGCTTACCGAGCAACACAAGGCCCCTCTGATCCAAATTCCCAAAGAATGAAGCCTCCATCGACGGATGAACCACTAACAAATACTTCTGTCTGCAGAATTTGGAAAACCCAGAATCTGGAAATGCCATCAAAGCATCCAAGGGATCGTCAAATCTCGTTAAATCATATATGTTGCAAGGCTCGAGGTTTGTGTCCTGAAACATTCTCCGGGCAATGTAGGATTCGAAGGGGTACTTCTTGTCTGACTTCTTGGCGTACATCACTTCTCCAACGATCGAACCGGCTGCTTTGTCTAAATCCCATCCTGAGGCTCTCATAAGAACGATCAACGGCTTTGCAAAATCGTGGATCGACTTAGAAGCAGCTTGAAACACAGATTCAAGCGAAGAAATGTTCGGGAACCGCCACATGTCGATCTTCTTGATCTCTAAGCTGTTCTGATTAAGCTTCTCGTCAAGTTTATTGCTCATTGCAATCAAACAGTGAAGTTCTTCCAGCAGAAACTGAAATTCGCAATCCTTGGATTTCACTTGAGCCTTAAGCTTCTCCAGGTTCCTCTCCTTGACATCGATTTCCTCCTTCAAGCGATCCAAACGAGAAGAATCTAGCTTGGCCTTTGTGATTAGTTTTGTTTTTTTGCACTGACGCTTGATTCTGCATAACTCTTCGAACTGAGACACGACGAGGTTGTCGGCTGCTATGATCTTCTCTGTGTCATAAGGTAAATGAGCCTTCTGAAACTGAACATACGCGAGCTTCAGACCCGAAACAATGTCGAACAGCTTGGAAATCTCATCATCCCCACAAAAAGTTCGATTCTTTTTGGAGGGTTTATAATTCTCTGCGCAGATTTCGGTTCCGCCAAGTTTATCCTTGGTTTCTTCACACGGATCGTTTGAATCCGGCCTCACGTCAGTGCTCTCCGAAGGAAATACGTCAAAGGATCTCAATTTGCAGGCTTTTGAGAACCTGGAGAGGATTTCTGATATGTTCGAAGAGGGCCTCGTGGTTTTAACGGCGGGATTCTCCATCGCTCCAAGAACAAACCCTAATCCAGAAGTAGGTTTCTGATCAATCGATGATGGGCATATAGTATTCGGAATACGAATCGCAGAGAGAGACCCTTATCACAGAAATTCACCAGGGCTTTAGCGTTACAATCTTAAACAGATTCCAGATAGAAAAAGCGCACATAAAAGCGGGTTTACTAGTGATTCAATCCTAAAGATTGAGGAATGAGTGAAGAACACCAAAAAGAAAAGGAGGATACCGTTGTCGAGACAGAAGACAGCACAACAGAAAACAAAAAGCACCCAATAAAATGTTTCAGATTCGTTCGAAAGAATGAAGCTCAGTGAAGGGGAAAAAAACACAACATGAACATGCGATGAAAACAGACAACCACCATTAACACCCACCAAGCTCATTACGAGACCAAAAAAAACTATCAGAGGAAAAAACCTGGTCTTGTACGGTAGCACTAGCGGCAGCAACTAAACCACGCGTGAACGAGGAAGGCCGATGGAGGTTGGAATGAAGGAGAGCTTCATATGTTGCCTTGTCATTTTTTTTATTTTAAACCTCGTTCGAGCTGAAGACGAAAGGAAACAAGAGCATCGTTAATGGTGCGATGATTCTGAAATTGCTAAACCATAAATCGATCATTATTGGCGTTTAGTACTCTTTCTTTTGTCTCTTCTTCTCTTTTTCTCTCGAAACCTGTAAACCAGAGCGTGGACGGAAGCGGGCTGCTTCGATCTTCACCAATTTTTAAGCTTTTTAATTTTATTCCTTTAAATAATTATATTTTGAAATAATTCAACTAAGAATCTCCTAATCCGAATTTTCAGAGTGTTTGATAAAATGCTCGAGGTAGATATTCATAAATTATATATTTTTATTGATAATACAGATAGAACTTCGTCTCTAAATTCGGATGTCAACCGTCTAAAACTTGTATTGTATTCATTTCGGATATATTAAAATTTAAATATTATAATACCCAAAACTTGTATAGCTGATGGATTTTGAATCCTAAAAATTTTAGGATCACATATCTCCAAAATTAAAAATATCATATCCGCATCCAATCCTGTATCTGAAGATAGGAAGATACAATATACCGGGGGAAGTTTCTCAACCTAGTGGTTAATGACAACCCCTCTTCCATCAGGTTGTGGGTTCGTTCAATTCATAGCTGGTAGGGAGGAAGGTAATTTCTGGGTTTATATGATTCATATACAAAGGCTGCTCCTGGATCGGAGGTTTATCTAGTCAGCGCGCCCGAAGGGTAGCAGTTAGGGGTCCTCCGTTATAAAAAAAAAGGTTGTGGGTTCGAATCCCAGGTATGGTACTCCCTTTGAGTCGGTCAGCTTTACGAGGTTGGTTTACCTGCTCTGCATGGTTTGCCGGTTACTGCACAGGACGGTGGATTTTCTCAAGTCCATGATATTGTCCTGATGCCGTTCTCGTCCGTTCCATAGGCTGAGAGGCGTTGCGGTATCCAGTGTCCGATCCGAAGGAGGGTTGTAGGATAGGGATTTTCTATCGTAACAAAAAAAAAGATACAAAATATACCGATATTATTTTCAAAAATGTCATTACATAAACATGGTATTAATCTATAAATCATTTTTTTTCGATATGTTATTTATATTTCAAAATTTCCCCAGATTTCCTTGTAAGACCAAGATCAGACATCTAACAAGAATATTTTAAATCTTATGATTTTGCATATATGAATAGAGAAGGCTTTCTCGGTTCAAACATATGAAGGGCACAGAAACCCGGAAAAGGCAAAAACTGTTTGAAAAATCAAGACAGTTCAAAAGATGCAAAACCGCACGCGAGTATCTTTTTTCCTTTTCCAAGCAGTTCGGTCTCCGGTCTGTGTTCGGCTCTGAATCTCAAATCTCATGTTGGGCCTTCAGTTTTAGCCCATTGGGCCTTTTTATTATATTACCTCGCCCATTCATGGGCTTTTTATGGCAAAGGAAATAAATTGGTTATAAAAAAACATCACTCTTTTTTTTTATATTTATTTTAATTTTTGTGCATTGTGCCTCGCCACATTACGTTTACACTACTGAATAATATTCGTGGAGACATACAAATAAGACCTATATATAATAGATATGTCGGCTTAGTTATATACTATTAGGGATGGATATTTTCTTTTTGTTAAAACCGAATGACATAAAATTTCATCAAAAAAAAAAAAACCGAATGACATAAAACAAAGGGAATCGATCGGTTCGGTTTGGAAAAACCGAATGTTGGACCCTCCAGTTCTGGTTTATTTGTTAAACCGAGTGATATAAAATAACGGGAACCGATCGATGGGTTCTGGATTGTATATATCTGTATATACGTAATACATGTACGTATATACAGATCTATACAGTCGACACAAACATACGTAGGATAGATAAGGATGATAGAGGATTGAGAAATTCGAAAAGGTGGTCCAAGATAGGACTCGAAACACACAAGGCAAGAATTCAACACACTCGTGCGTTTCTTGTCTCTTTCTCCTTATAATAAATCCCACTTCATCTGAATAATACTCCTACTTCTGTTTTTTTATTTTTATTTTTTTTTTAAATCAATTATATCTTTTAATAATGTTCCATAAATGAACATCCCAAAGGTTGAGAAAAATATATACAGTAAAATAAAATAATGCGAGTCGTGTCACGTTTTTTTTTTCAAAGAATATTTAGATCATGAGCTTGTGATTCCGGTTTTAGTAATTACATTTGGATACTATAAAAAAAAATTCGAAATACGATTGCAAATAAAGTTCGATTAAAAAAAATTGAACGTTGAACTTCAAAGCAGTATTATTCGATTTCTGTATAATTTACTAACACTTCGTACATCGGATGATCACATGAGGGAAGGAAACCCTAATTGTTTCGAAATGCATGCGAGCCCTCGAGAGGAGACTCTCACGTTCGTACGTCATAGATCGATAGGGAACAAGCGAAGTCACATCTATCGCAATCAAAAACGAAATTCAAAAGAAATAATAATAACAATAAAATGATAGAAAACAGAGACAGTGTCAGATATTTGTATGAGTTATAAAAAGAAAAGTAATATAAATAATCGAGGAGTGAGAAAACAGTTGCTTTTGGCATGTGATGTGACCCTCACAAATATCATTCCCATACTTTCAAAACCCTAAACCCCACCTCCTTAATCTTCGGTATTTTGGGCACACAATTTTACCAATGTGTTGGTATATCCCCATATTTAATTAGTTTTATCCATAATTCTAATTCTTCATACGAGAATCATAATTTCTAAATGTTTCACGTAATTCATTTGGATCATGGAAAATGTAGTGTGTGTGTATGTGTGCATATATTGAAACTTTGGTCGAATCGCAGGTTTTGGACCGTAAAAAAAGGACATTGCATGGCTCTTAACAAGGCGTGAAGATGTTTCTCATAATGATGCGTGAAATAAACAGTACATAGAGACGAAGGGGTGTATGAACACATGCATGCAGCACGTCTTACACATTTGTTGGGATGTTTTGTCCACACCTCTTTGCCTTTGGAATATAATATATATATATATATATATATATATGTGTGTGTGTGTGTGTGTGTACACACACTATTCTACGACTAACTAAATCATTAATCAAATCAAGATCTTTCTTGTCGGGTGAAAATTTCATGTTGCATTTGTATATACGTTGAAAAAGTACGTCGATATTTCGATTTCACTTGGCATGGTATATTATTTGCGTGTAACTTACTAGACATGTATGTACTCTCCAACCCAATGTATTTGTATTTGTCTACGCATAATGCATGCATTCCTTACCTGACGAAACTATTAATCCTAACGTCCATAATTTAATTCGGATCTAAGATCCAATTCACACGCAATGACACACCCCTCATATATACACACACACAAGCAAAAACTGTATACGCTTTTGCGACGAAAGCCACTGATGGTCGTTACTTCTCCTCTTGTACACTGTAATTTGTGCGTATTAGTGAATAATCTACCCTGAAATCATATATATATATATATATATATATATAGTTATATATATATATATATATGTAGTTATGTATGTTAGTGGACACTCGGATCATGTTACACTTGAAGACTTGGGCACGAAGGCACACTCGGTTAACTCACACGAAGACATGATATACGAAGACATGTAATGATGGGAAGAAATCAATCAGCAACTCATGAATAGGAAACATGCCATGATCTCAAACTTGACATATTCCTTTTTCCATATTTAGTTGTAAATAGTCGTTTTCTTTATTTGTATAAAAGATCCTCTGTACAGAAGTAAAAAGAATAACAAGAGAATGTTTTTCACAAACTCTAATTAGCCTCTCTCTCTCTCTCGGTTTCTTTAGAACAGATTTAAGGTTCTTTTGCCTTGTCCCTTTTTCACTTTCGAATCCTTGAAACCAAAGGATTCTTCATGGTATCAGAGCATAAGATCTAGAGGATTTTGTGTTTTTTGTTCCGCTGCGAAATCGAAACATCTTCCCTCTCGATTTTGAGTGTACCGAAGAGGAGCCTGTTCGATTCATTTTTCAGAATTTTGTTTTCCCTTTTGATTATTCAAAGCAAAAGGAGAGCTCTCTTCAAGTAAATCGTTGGTCATTCATTCAAGCCACGGTTCATCATATTTTTATTGTCTCTCTCGGTCTTTTCATTTCAAACCGAGAAGAATTTCTTTGTCCTATCCCTTTATCACCAATATGTGTGAGTATTCTCAACATGGCCGTCGCGGTTCGGCAATGCCGGCTGTTCACGCTCAATCACCTGCAGAGAGCGCCATCGGACTCACTTCTGACGAGTTAAAGGGCCTAAAGCACTTACTTCAATCCCTTAACAAGGATACTGGTAATCTTTCTAAACACTCGTCAATTATCATAGACTCGGGTGCAACAACGCACATGTTTTGTGATCCCACATGGTTTGACCATATATATCCAAGTCATGGGGTAGTTTCCGTTGCCAATGGTAAGAATGTCTCTATAAGAGGTTATGGTAAGATCCGACTTTTTAATCGTGACATCACTGGTCTCTTTATTCCCGACTTTCATGCTAACCTTCTTTCAATTCCAAAACTCGTTGAAGACACTACTTGTCGAGTTATTTTCGATACTAATGGCGTTTTGTTTCAGGATACTAAATCGGATCACGTTTTTGGTCAAGGGAAACGCAAGGGCTCTCTTTACTATCTCGATGATTCACACTCAAGTTTCTTATCTATTTCATCTAGTGTGTGGCATGCTCGATTGGGCCATCCACATGCTAAAGTTTTCCGTTTATTAGTTCCACAAGTTAAGACATTTGATTCTCATTGTGAGGCATGTATTTTGGGCAAACATTGTCGAACGGTTTTTCAGAATTCTAATACTATTTATGATAACGTATTTGATTTGGTCCATTCGGATGTATGGACCTCACCTTGTTATTCTCGTGACAATTACAAATATTTTGTAACCTTTATTGATGAGAAATCCAAGTATACTTGGATAACGCCTTTAAAAACCAAAAGTGATGTGTTTTGTGCTACGAAACATTTTCTTGCATATGTGGCTAATCAATTCAATGTCAAGGTAAAGTGCTTGCGAACCGATAACGGAGGGGAGTACACAAGCTTTCGGTTTTGAGACTATCTTCTCCAAGAAGGTATTACCCATCAACGTTCTTGTCCGTACACTCCTCAACAAAATGGTGTTGCCGAAAGAAAGAACCGTCACTTGATGGAAGTTGCTCGGATGTTATTATTCCATAGGAATGTTCCTAAGAGATTTTGGTGTGATGCGGTCAAAGTTGCGTGTTATCTCGTTAACCGTCTACCGACGCAAGTCCTTCACGATAAGTCACCATTTGAGGTACTCTTTAATCACCAAGACTCTCTTGCTCATCTACGTGTGTTCGGTTGCATTTGCTTTGCTCATATTGATGAAGGGCACCGGACCAAGCTTGATCCACGAAGTGTTCGATGCGTCTTCCTTGGTTATCCGGCGAATCAAAAAGGCTATGTGTGTTATCATCCACCAAGCCGACGAATTTTTACGTCAAGAGATGTTCGGTTCATTGAGGAGCTCGGCTATTTCGATGATCAAAATTGGTCTTCCTTAGAATCGCTTGCAACGCAAGGTAATGATTCTAATGGTGATCCTGTCACTAACCTCCACATGGCGCTTCGTCAACTTGGGGTACAGACCCCCTCCACTGAATTTTTGGACACTAGTGGCTCTCTGGAATTACATGCAGACGGTATTCCTCTTCCTTTGTCTCCTTCTTCTATTCCTTTGTCTTCTAACAGTGTAGGTCCATCACATGAAGACATGATATCTCCTACGTGTGGTTGGTCCTTCTTCACTCCATCCTAGCACATCTGTCTCTCCCTCAAATCTGTTTGTTTCGCCATCACCGATGGAAGGAGACCCAAATCACCGTCTGCATGCTGACTTAACACCGACGTTCGTCCAACCTGATCTGCTTCCTTCCACTCACGCCCCTCAGCTCCGCCGCAGCAACCGAGAACGCCGCCCTACTTGGAAAATAAAGGAGCAGCTGCAGTGCTCCAACACCGCGGTCGCCCATCCGATTGATAAGTACTCTTCCCTTGATCATTTTCCACCTAACGAACGAACCTTTTTGAGTATTATCGAACAGGGCGTGGAACCATCATGTTACACTCGAGCCAAGTCTGATCCAATTTGGCAACGTGCTATGGAGGAAGAGATCATGGCATGTTTCCTATTCGTGAGTTGCGATTGTTAGTGAACACTCGGATCATGTTACACTTGAAGACTTGGGCACGAAGGCACACTCGGTTAACTCACACGAAGACATGATATACGAAGACATGTAATGATGGGAAGAAATCAATCAGCAACTCACGAATAGGAAACATGCCATGATCTCTTCCTCCATAGCACGTTGCCAAATTGGATCAGACTTGGCTCGAGTGTAACATGATCCGAGTGTCCACTAACAATGTATGTATGTATGTATGTGTGTGTGTGTAGAGATTCATACGCTGTAAGAAATTCCTGGGGAAGGGAAGGGAACAACGGCAGAGAGGAAAAGCTGCAGGAGAATCCAACTCCCAAACTTAGTAACACTCAGGAGGAACCTCCCTTGTCTCTCTCTCTCTCTCTCTCTCTCTCTCTCTCTCTCTCTCTCTCTCTCTCTCTCTCTATTGCAAAACAGACATTACTTACAGATTCTGTAAACCCTCTTCCCTAATTAATAACCATTAACCCATATCCTTAGTTCGTCCTAAGTTCCACAACCACTCCCACTCACCCTTCTTTATCCCAATACTGGGAAAATCCCAAAACATTTTTTCCAAAGTTTGAATCACTTCCTCCATTTCCACACTTACTATTTCCCATTTTTATCTGCATGACGCGACCTGTGTGTGTTCCATAATTGATATCTGCTTCTTTCTTGACCAAATAACATTTCATTATACCTCACCCTCGATCGTGAGGTGGGTTTTCTTTCTTTCGTTTTCGATTTCTTCCCTTTCTTGATTGGTTTCCATGATCATGGGCTTTGAGAGGAGTGGCATATCATCATCATCAGCGACGTGTTCTTTGTCAGCAGCGAGTTGCAGAAGCAAGTTCACTCTGTATCACGTTCTCTGTGTATTCTTCCTCGGCTTCCTCCTCTGCGCCGTTACCACCGCCACTGTCGTCCCATCTCCCCCTTCTCCACGTAAACGTTCTTTGTCTTTCTCTTTCCCCGTTTACTTAATGTCTTTTTATCATGCTCGCTCTGTTGACTACACATACATTTACTGGTTTGAAATTCATTTGTAAGTACATACACAAACATATGTATGAATGTATATCAGGGGGTTTATTGTCATGCACGTTTGCCATCGTTGCGATTAATGCAGATATCAGGAAATCTTGTCCTGGGAAACTTGCGACCTTCTATGCACAGGTTGGTTGATTCATCCCTCATCTCATCTTATTATTAGTAAATTATATATCACCAGTTTTTTTCATATCTTTACTCTCGGTCCACATAAGTATGAATGGAAAGTGGATGATCCTCAGAATTTTGACTGTATATGAGGATGTCATCGAAATAGACTACTACGAATTTTCCAATGTAGGGGCTCAAGACTTGGTTCATCAATCTCATGAAAGTGCTCGGGCACAACCCGAAGGGTTTGTCGATCCGAGGAACCCGAGGATGGTGTGCAAGCTTCAGAGGTCCATTTATGGATTGAAGCAGGCTTCGAGGAGCTTGAACCTTCGTTTTGACGAGACAATCAAAAGGTTTGGTTTCTCACAAAACGAAGACGAGCCATGTGTTTACAAGAATGCTAGTGGGAGCCCAGTTGTATTTCTAGTGCTGTACGTGGATGACATTCTCCTTATAGGGAATGACGTTCCTACCTTGCAAGACGTTAAGTCTTGGCTAGGAACGCAGTT